AATACCGTAAACCTCCGACTATAAGCCCTGGGCTTATATACTTTCATAAGCGATTTTTGATGGGCTTATACAAGGGGGGCTTATACCCAATGATCTTTTGTGTTAGTGTTAGTAATAAACAAGTCAAACATAAACAAGTCAGTCATAAACAGGAAATTAAAAATGTATTAATATATCAATTCGGGGGACTAATATTCCGGGGGGGGGGGCTTATATTTGGAATGAGGTGAGCTTTAGTACATGTGGTGGGCTTATACACGGGGGTGGCTTATATTCGGGGGGAGGGGGGGAGGCTTATATTCGGAGGTTTACGGTATTTTAAGTGCGGATATATATTGTTTAGACCGTATATTCATTATACATCGACTGTATAAGGTGCTACATCAGAGTAGATGGCTACACGCAGTATAAACAGCGAAATATTGCATCAGATCAGAGCTCAGAGGTATCCAACGTGTGCAGTCACGGGCCTTATTCACATAACATGTCTAGCACAACGGTGTAAACTCGTGTTCAATGACAATGCAATATTGAATGCAATGAGAATTTCTCATTGATTGACAATCTCTACCACATCGTACGAGAATCTATCTGTGTTGATCATGAAGCTTGTCAAAACTGCTACAAACACTGCTATAACTGTGAAACTATTGAAATCTAAAGTGACATTGAATGCATGCGAAAACCTGAAAATGACTCGTGAAACACAACTTGATCTTGTCATCTTGGGAATATAATGTCAAAGATCAATGTTCTTGTTATTGTGTAAACATGTCACAATTAGGTTAAAATGCGGAAGCGGATGCGGAAGCGGATGCGGAACGGAACCACGGAGCAGATGCGGAACGGATATGGGGATAAAATGGGGAACGGATATGGGGATAAAATGGGTTTTTTTAGTCAGTTTTCGCCTCATTTTACGCTTCTGAGTTTATTTATTTATTTTATTCGGCATTTCAAGCACTGATCTGCAAGCCGTAACAAGTACGTACAACTTCAAATCCGGTTCAGTAGAAATCTTCCCAAACATAATTCATAAAGCCAATGTTTTCAACTTCTTAGTTATACTGTATTAAATTCATACTGATCGAATTATATAATATACGGCAAGTTTCCTTTACTATCATTTATTTGATGGAATTTGTTTTGGCCGTACGTCGTCGTCGTGTTGCCGTTCTACATGCTTAAGCTCCCTGGCTATTAACTGTATAAGGTGCTGCACCACAGAATAGATGGCTACAGTGACCACACTCAGTACAAAGAGCGAAAAATGCGTGAGATCAATAAAGGCTGCCTTAAAGCGTAAACAACTATTAAGCAGAAGCGGGTGTTTGTATGCCGTTTACGAAAAAAATAACTAGACTAAAGAACGGGACTAAAGAATCAGTTTTTAGTCAGTTTTCGCCTCATTTTACGCTTCTGAGTTTATTTATTTATTTTATTCGGCATTTCAAGCACTGATCTGCAAGCCGTAACAAGTACGTACAACTTCAAATCCGGTTCAGTAGAAATCTTCCCAAACATAATTCATAAAGCCAATGTTTTCAACTTCTTAGTTATACTGTATTAAATTCATACTGATCGAATTATATAATATACGGCAAGTTTCCTTTACTATCATTTATTTGATGGAATTTGTTTTGGCCGTACGTCGTCGTCGTGTTGCCGTTCTACATGCTTAAGCTCCCTGGCTCTAAAAACACTGCTATAACTGTGAAACTATTGAAATCTGAAGTGACATATTGGGAAAGTCAAAGGTCAATGAGATGAGACTTGTTATTGTAAACATGTCACAATTAGGTTAAAATGCGGAAGCGCATCGAGCGGATCCACGAAACGGATATGGGGGTAAAATACGGAACGGATGGGGATAAAATGCGTCCTTTTAATTATGCAACGTCGTAGTGGTTATTATTCATAACATATCTTATACAGCTATTTCAATTAAAATTGTCACTGAGACAATAGTCAAATGTGCAATATGGGCGCTAAAAGGATGATGGGAATAATCATAGTTTTAAATAAGTTTAGCATATCAGTAGCCTCGTGGGGATGCTTTTAGCGACAGCTGCAAATGCAAATGAAGTTTTAGAATGTGCAAAATTTGCTTGTTGGTGAAACAATTTGAATTTCGAGTTGTCGCGTGTAGCATCACATTAATAAATAAATTGTATCAGTTCCACGAGGCACGACATTTCCGATGTGTTAGGCTTGTTTCAAACGTCGCGATATTCATGCGCTGAACGCATTAAAAACAATAGATAATGAGATGAAATGTCTTTGGTAACTGTTTGTTTCGTCGTGTAAGCCATCAGCTTTTGTAGGTTGTCGGCGACCCTATATAGCAGTGTCTTTTTTCAATTTGAAACTTCACACTATCCTTGGATTCCTAGTTGTTGAATGGGACAATCAAACATCACATTGAGAAATATCAGGAAGAAGACCCGGAGTTTGTACAGAAGTTTCTGAGTGGCATTTACGTGGATGATCTAAGTTCTGGGTCCAAGGATGACAACGCAGCCTATGAACTGTATATTAAATCAAAACAACGACTAAGTGAAGGCGGATTCAATCTTCGCAAGTTTCTATCTAATTCTCCTATCCTAATGCAAAGAATACAGCAAAATGAAGAAACCCCCACCATCGGTCAGTCAGATGTGGTCAATGATGTTTGTCCTGAGGATATATAAGTCTATTCCAAATCAACAGTCGGTAATCCCCAAGAAATACTGTTGGAAAAGGAAGAGAAGATTCTGGGAATTCGGTGGAACTATGTCAGTTACACATTCATATTCAATTTTCAGCGAATTGTCCAAGCAGCTACAGAACTCAAGCCTACGGAGCGAAATGTCATTGGTATCATATCCCGTTTCTGCGACCCCTTGGGACTTGGAAGATCTCGCATCCATAACAGTCAAATTAAAGATGTTCTTTCAGGAGCTATGCCAATCTAAAGTTGAATGGGACGAAGAATTATCAAGACCTTCCAAATCACCCTTCGTTTGAAACATGGAATAAACAGTTTGGATTATTCTGGGATAAGAATGGAATCAACAAGTGCAAGGGAAGAATTTCGAATGCGGACATTCCTGGCGAAACCAAACATCCAATTCTATTGAACGCCAAAAATAGATTAACCGAGTTAATTGTTAAGGAATCCCACAATCGTGTGTTTCACAACGGTGTTGAAGAGACACTTACAGAACTACGCTCGAGATTTTGGATAATTCGTGGCAGACAATTTATAACGAAGTTAATGCACAGGTGCGTGGTTTGCAAGAAATATGAAGGTAAACCCTATTTCCTAACTGTCTGGGGCCAAAGCTGGGGGCTTTGCCAGAATTTCGAACACAACGACAAGCACCCTTTGCCTCGACTGGAGTTAACTTTGCTGGACCGCTATATGTCAAGGAATCAAAGAAGAGCAAGACACAAACAAAGACCTGGATCGCCTTTTATACATGCGCTCTCACGAGAGCTCGCCATTTGGAACTCGTTTCGGATATGACTGGTGAATCTTTGCTGTTGTGTTTTCGACGATTCTGTGCAAGGAGAGGACTTCTCAAGAGAATGATTTCCGATAACGCCAAGACGTTCGTAACTGCGTCCCGAAGATTAAAGGCTTCATTTCAATTTCCCGAAGTTAGACATCATATGGAGATCAAACGGATTGAGTGGTCATTCAATACTCCTAAGGCCCCTTGGCAAGGAGGATTCTTCGAACGATTAGCTATGTCAGTAAAGCGGTGTCTGAAGAAAATACTCGGTAAGGCATGTGTCACCTATGAGGAACTACTAACTATACTTACAGAGATTGAGTGTGTCTTAAATTCAAGACCATTAACTTACGTTTCTACTGAAGATCTCGACGAACCTTTAACGCCATCACATCATCTTTAAATCAGTAAAGCACATGAAAACCTAATGAATGTCCGAAAGTGGCTGTCATCCTAGAGTTAAAATGAATAGCCAGTCGATCAAAAGAGTTAAACATGCCAAAGTGATTGGAGTTCAGATTCACGAGAATTTAAATTGCGGGAGACATATTGAATTCATTGTTAGTAAATTAACGTCAGGTATTGGAATAATAAGAAAACTTAAGGATCGGAATTTGTTGATCGAAACACTTTGCTATTGGTATATGATGCTTTAATTCAGCCTCATTTTGATTATTGTTGCGAAGTTCGGGGTGACCTTGGTAAATGCCCTAGTGAACGCCATCAAAAACTACAAAATTTACCAGCTGGAATCATCAATTTCAAAAATGAAGCGCCGCGGTCTGTCTATTTTGGCTTGTAATGTTCTTGGTTGGATATCGCTTGACGAACGCAGGGCGCAAATAAAAGCCAGGATCATGTACAAAAGTTCAATCAATTAGCCCCTCAAAGACTGTGTGACATTTTTTATTCCCAGGCATCGGACGGAATTCCTAAAAAAGTTTCAGTTGCAGTGGGGCTCAAATATGGAATCAGATACCGGAAGAGATTAGAACTTCGGTATGTTATGATTCGTTTTCTCGACCTTTGATTTTAAGAATTAGCTGTCTTGGTTAAATCTATTGTTTAGGGACCGGTCATTATTTATGGTGGGGGGTGGCACCGAAGAGAAAAGGGTTGGGTAAACTAAATTTTGAGTAAGTAAAAGGTTGGGTAAATGAAAAACAAAACAACTCAAGTGTTGGGTAATAAAAAATTATTGTCATTTCCAAAGCATGACTCACTGAAGTATTGGGGACTAAAAAGCAATGGCAACAGTAGGCCCTACTCTGGGGCGATAACGAGATAATGCGACGGTTTAAGCAATTTTAGGTGATTTAAGCAAAATCTGCAATTTAAGCAATGCAAGTTTGAGCGATATAGGGCAATGTAAGAAAACAATTAAAATTTTAGGGAATGCTGTTTTAGGTGTTTAGAGGTAATTTCAGAAATATACAACTATATCCCTGATGACTCCAATGATTACCATTAACCTATGCCAAGCACCCAAACATGAGTGTTCCCACAAACACACACACATGCAGTGTATGAAGCAAAATATACAATTTAACAAAAAAAGTTGAAGTCTGCTTGAGGGTGTTCTGGAAACAAACAATACACTGTATGCGCATGACGATCAAGTGTTTAAAGGGTAAATAAGCTCAATATTCATGACTTAATTTTTCATCCATTGTCTATTACGAAGCCATTGGGGTATTATTAAATTCATGACACAACTATAATACATGTCCACATCATATGCAATTACAAACAATTTTCAAAGGAGTAGAGTACAGAATTGCAATATAACAACATATAAGTAAATTATACACGTCATGAACTTACCAGTTTGTGTTGAGTTAAATTTAAAAATTTTAATGACATCAAATATTATTTATTTATTTGCAAATCAAAACATTTTAAAATTCTCGTGTTTTGTTTTGCATTTCGCCCGCGATATATTAATGGTATTAACCGCTGTGAATATGATATACATTTTTAATACATTACATTTGCGCTCAAAAGTTCAGAAAGTGAGTTTCTACGTTTTATATATGGTATGTAAAAGGTAATCGTTGTTTACTGTTTACTTACTGTTTATTTTGTATTTAGGTATGGGGAATTTAAGCGATGAGAGTTGCAAAACTTGCAAATGTAGTCTGCTAGTTTCTTTGACGTCATCATGCAACTATTTAATATTGTGCTACATTCATTATTCAATTTATTCGCAGCAATTAGCCTTCTATAAGCCATACAAATTAGTATAGCTTATAGCCCACCTTGCCTTTAACATTGATCCTATATATAATGAATTAACATAACTAACTTGATTATGTTGCCAGTCGAATATGGGACGTATGGGTCTTTTAGATCCTAGAGTAGCACAATTACTATAAAGTCTCCGTAAGGCGGTAATATTAAAGACTGTTCTTATTTATGCATGACCTTTGACTATTAAGTGGCCAAAAATTGTGCCTACAGTAGTCAACTTATTCCACTATCCAGGTTGCATCACTTTTGATTGCAAAACACACGGGTTTATTATACATGGATTTGCTAGCAAAATAGCAGCAATTGATGAACTTGGTGTTATATACTAAGATTTACTAAATGTGTAAAGAAACAACGAAAAGTATATATCAATCAGAGTCACTATCTTGATCAATTTCCGATGGCTACAATTAGCTACATGTGCAGACAACATGAAACTTCAGACTGCAGAAAATTTCACAATCCGTTATCAAACTTATGTCACAGAAGTGGTAAAGGACATATGTGACAACTGAATGGTACCTTTTGTAAATTTTTTTGCCAGGGGTGGGTATTTATTTTTTAATTGATATTTTAGGTTGGGTAATCAATTTTTTTGTACTTTTTAATGGTTGGGTCAGCAAAATATTTGCTACGAAAAACATTTCTCTTCGGTGCCACCCCCCGCCATAAATAATGACCGGTCCCTTAGTTAGTATATAAGTTATAGCATATTGGACATAATATAGTAATATTTAATTATTAAGTTTTAGTATATAAATTTGTGTTTTGTTATGTAGCAAACCTCTTTTAGAAATCAGCTGCGTGTTGAAAAGACTAGTGTGTTTAAATAAATTTGATCATCATGCGTAACATTGCATATAAAACCTGATATCCTAGTCAGTCTGGGCCAGTTTCTTAGCGACTCCCAGAGATGTAGTTGGGAATACCCACTCACACGAACGAAAGGGGAGACATGGTAGATATCATAAATACTGGATATAGCACATTGGTATAAATTAGATCAGTTCGTGTTCATTGTTATTTCCCCGCCTCCCCTCCCAAAGAAGACAGTTTACTGCTTCGCTCCTCGGCTCACGGGCTCGCATTTCCCTAACTCTCAGTTTGTAAGCCAATGGGAGCAGGCAGGGGTTTAGAATAGATTAGTATTTTCTGAAACGTTTATATCGTAATCATGGTTACCATATGCGTATTTGCACTGTTAACCACGGTTAATTGAAACCATGATATTGATAATATATTTAAGGTGTTTAAGTAGATTTAAGTCCCAGAGGTTAGCCGTATAGTTAGACATCGTATTTCTGCACAATACGGAGTGATAACTTGATCTTGTCTGATACATCATGCTATTTCTGGAAATAACAAAATTGCGACAATGTTTGCAAATTGCGTGTACTGTTTATGGTTTGTTAACTTTTCAGCCTGGCGTGTAACCAGAGGTAGATATTCGCGCCAAGCTACGATATCAAGTTATTTAATACCTAATTAGCAAGAGAAGAACATGTATACATTTAATTTTTGTAATGCCTTTTTTAATGCTTCTCTTGCGAGTCTACCTCATTACATTAACATATAGTGTTCATCAGCATTTTCTTGGTTTAAACATCACACATAGAAAAAAAACTAATATTTTTAGCCTTGTTTGGAAGCTTAAAAATTTATGCTGACACGAATGTGCGTTGTGGACTTCTAAGCCCTCGGCAGCTAATTGCGTATAACTGGGGAAACTTCCATTTATAGCAGGGAAACGTGGCCAAAACTGTGAATATAATAGATCAAAGACATATTAAGTAAACATTAAACAACATGAAGTGCATTCAAATAACTTTTGACATAAGATATCCCCTCTCCCCCACTCAATATTGCCATCATCTTAAAAGTAATTCAATAACGTTGTGTCTGGGAAGAGGGAGGGGGAATCTACGATTTAACTATCACAAAGGCAAATGAAAATTTTGCTAACAAGTTATGTCCACGATTTAGTGCAACAGCACAAGTACCTTTTTCGAACACATGGTACTAACTTCAAACCAAAAGGCCATCGTTCAAAATTTCATGTTTCTTTTTCCAATTTTCAGAGGGCGAATTACCCGGACAAGCTATAGCTGTTTGTATTCACCGCTATAATAATGACCTCAAACATTTAAAGGTAAAATGTCTTGACAATCTGAAAAGTCCAAATTATACAACTAAGCCCGTAGATTTATCGTAAATGTACAGATTTATCATAAATGTCGCGATTTTATCCACCTAATCTATTCATATGTCTTTCTTGCAGAACTACCAACACAAAGGGATTAAAGAGGTAATTCAATGGCTTCCAAAAATAACATAGCATTTCAAATCGCGAATGGCCAGTAATATTAAAATGCAGTTACATTTTGGGTCATGCCTATGGTAGATTAGAGGAAATTAGAAAGGCCATCAACAATTACAAAATTTTTACAAATTTGCATTGAACTGCTAATTGGTCGGGGATGATAAGAAGCAATAGCAATTTGGATGATACCTCTCATACCTTAGTAGAGTATCAGAAGACCATTGACTGTTACAAAAAAGGTCTAGAAATTAGCACTGCTACTGGCGATCGGTCAGGAATTGCAAGCAGCAATGGCAATTTGGGCATTGCTTATCATAGTTTAGGAGAATATCAGAAGGCCATTGACTATCACAAAAAAGATCTAGAAATAAGCACTGCTATTGGCGATCGGTCAGGTATAGCAAGAAGCAATGGGAATTTGGGCAATGCCTGTCATAGTTTAGGAGAATATCAGAAGGCCATTGACCATCACACAAAAGATCTAGAAATAAGCATTGCTATTCGCGATCGATTAGGAATAGCAAAAAGCAATGCCAATTTGGGTAATGCCTATGATAGTTTAGGAGAATATCAGACGGCCATTGACTATTACAAAGAAGATCTAGAAATAAGCACCGCTATTGGCAATCGATCAGGAACAGCAAGAAGCAATGGCAATTTGGGCAATGCCTTTCATAGCCTAGGAGAATATCAGACGGCCATTGACTATCACAAAAAAGATCTGGAAATAAGCACTGCCATTGGCGATCGATCAGGAATAGCAAAAAGCAATGCCAATTTGGGCAATGCCTATCATAGTTTAGGAGAATACCAGAAGGCCATTGGCTATCACAAAAAAGATCTAAAAATAAGCACTGCTATTGGCAATCGATCTGGAATAGCAAGAAGCAATGGCAATTTGGGCAATGCCTATCATAGTTTAGGAGAATATCAGAAGGCCATTGACTATCACATAAAAGATCTAGAAATAAGCACTGCTATTGGCGATCGATCAGGAATAGCAAAATGCAATGCCAATTTTGGCAGTGCCTTTGACAGTTTAGGAGAATCTCAGAAGGCCATAAACTATCACAAAAAAGATCTAGAAATAAGCACTGCTATTGGCGATCGATCAGGAATAGCAAGAAGCAATAGCAATTTGGGCAATGCCTATCATAGTTTAGGAGAATATCAAAAGGCCATTGACTATCACAAAAAAGATCTAGAGATAAGCACTGCTATTGGCAATCCAGCAGGAATAGCAAGAAGCAATGGCAATTTGGGCAATGCTTATCATAGTTTAGGAGAATATCAGAAGGCCATTGACTATCACAAAAAAGATCTGGAAATAAGCACTGCTATTGGCGATCAATCAGGAATAGCAAGAAGCAATGGGAATTTGGGCAATGCCTATGATTGTTTAGGAGAATATCAGAAGGCCATTGACTATCACAAAAAAGATCTAGAAATAAGCACTGCTATTGGCAATCGATCCGGAATAGCAAGAAGCAATGGGAATTTGGGCAATGCCTATCATAGTTTAGGAGAATATCAGAAGGCCATTGACTATCACGAAAAAAATCTGAAAATAAGCACTGCTATTGGCAGTCGATCAGGAATAGCAAAAAGCAATGCCAATTTGGGCAATGC